TGATATTTCCCTCTCAGATTATTTCATTTAAAGTATTTTCAGAAGTCCCAAAAACATAAAGTGTTCAATACTTTGGACACTTTAGGAAAAGGCTAAACTTAGAGAAAAGTCAGAATAAAATAATAAGACATTTTTCCTGCCCTTGAGACCCCCAGGTTAGGAAACATAGTCTAAAGAAGAATTAGAAGAAGTAACATGCATTGTGAAAGTATATTGTCTTTTTTTAATATGCCAATTTTTCCACCTCAGCTAAACATAATAACGTTATGCGATATTTCAAGGTTGTTTTGGGAATTTCTTGCACCTCTTTTTAAGTTTTCAATGGACAAAATGATAATGCACCACAATCAGGTGGAAACATATAAAATACCAGATTAACTGGTTAGTATATACTATATACTTTATATATATAGTATATACTTTAATAGATTGTTGTCTTAGCCTATTTATCTCTGTATTGTGTTTATGTCTGTATTGTGTTTGTTGTTTGTTTAAGTCAATGAAACCTTTTACTTTACAATTTACAAGCCTCACCACTGACTGATTCTGGTACAATTTGGCCCAAAGAGGGCGCCACAACTACAGGTCAGAAAAACTTTGACACAGTCAGTGACTGGCCCAGAGGGGAGCGTGCATCCTTTAATGGGGAATGACATGCGTACTCTTGCCTCGTTGTTTATTAGTTTACAATCAGAATGAAAGATTTAAAAGGGCTTCAAAAGGAAATCAGCCACATGAAACAGAGTTTTTGAGGTGTTGTTAGTCACAGCAGTGGAAAAACCCTCCTAGCTGCTTTAAAGCCCAGTATGTGTGTATCATGGATATCATGATATCATGGATATCAGACAGAGGAGATGGCTAAAACCAAGCTTTAAACCAAAATTACCAGGAGGGGAGACTTGTCTTTCTCTCCACCAGCCTCCGTCTCGTTATCCGTCCATTCCCCTCCTCCTCTCTCACTTGTTCTCTGTGGTCAGTGTGTGACAGAGGCCCCGGGCTGACTAATGGCTGTGGGCGAGATGTCTGGGAGATGGATCTGCCCCTCTAATTCACTGGTGGTGGACACACTGGATTTAACCCAGACTGACTATGAATGTGTGTTTGAAGCAGTGTGTGTAAATGTGTTTGAAAGCTGAAAGAGAGAGAGAGAGAGTCGGTGCTGCTGTGTGCATGCATGCATGCATGCGTGTGTGTGTGTGTGTGTTCCCAGAGAGAGAAGCCTATTGAAAAGCCTCTCTCCAGTCTATCAGATTAGCTCCATTAGTGGATTAGCCGGATTAGCCGGATTAGCGGGTTAATTGCACTCTACTGCTGCGTTGGTGCGCAGAGGCTAATGACGGCTAACGCTAGTTAATCACACACACAGCCGCGTTAGCCAGCTACCGCCACGTCTGGCAACATGGCACACACATAGGGGAAACCAGCGTACACCAGCTTCCCATGAGGATTAGGAACAAGACATGTTTGGATCACACATCTTATGCCAATAGCATGCTCTTTTTTTGGCACGGTTATCTATTTTTTATCAACTGCTGTTGTGTTCGTCTTTTCTCTTATTTAGGAACACTTTAAACCCTTAATCATGTTGTTTTTACAGTGTTTTTGCTTCTTGTGTGATGTATAAGGGGTTCTGTCCATTAAAAAGATTACGTTAAAGACAATGTTGAGGCAGGAATAACAGCAAAAATGGGGTCATATGTTTGGTGGGTGTTAACATGATACAGAGCTACAGCAGAAAGGTTGCAGGTTTGAATCCAGGAACAGGCTGGGAAAATCAGCCAACTAACAGTGAGCACACACCGGCCTGCGCAGAAAACTTTTCCAAATGTCATATTTCTATAATGATCTACCTTGTGATACGTTTATCTCTGATGCTCAAAATTTGTGTCAGTATATCTCAATCTAAATTTCCTAGTTTAACAAGGAGAGCAACATATGGACGTTTCCATTTAATACACCATCACCAGAACAAGGCTTCACGCATTGTATAATTTCCTCCTATAGGACTAAGACGTGCTCCTGAACTCCTGCACAGTCAAGTAATCAAATCAGTGAGAAAGAACAACAGCGTCTATTGCTGCCTGTGCACTACATGAATATATTTTCAGGACTGTGTGCTGCAACATATCGTTATAAAGCCATGGGCATGGTTTGACTTAATTTGCTTTGCAAGGTGAACACTGTCTGCATGCATCCTGCCTCAAACGACCCCCTGCTTATTGTTTATTTTATCACGGACAACAAATCAGGAGATAAATATGAATGTTTGCACACTTCAGCAGTGTCTGAAACAGCATGTGGCTGCGAAAAAAGGACAAACTTTTTGAAACACAAACAAATGAATACTACGACGTACATGTGAGTTACCTGAAAATCTGATCTGGTGGATATGATGCAGTTTGTTTGATTATATATTTATTGACTGAATATACTGAATTGATTCTGAGGCCTCATTCGGACCAGGTTTGACACAGATATGCTATGTTATTTAATTTTGTTGGTAAAGGTCTTTGTAATAGGACTACTGCTAGTAACTGCAATATGCTGCTGAGTAACAATTGAGAGTTTTAATGTCTCATTAATACTGTTTGAATAATTGGTAGCAATCATATGTTATACATCAGTACAGTGTTACCTATACCAATACTATACAGCATTGATCAATGCCACATACCACAGCATTTTTAATTTACAAAGCTTGTCCCTAGATCGGCCTTCATACAAATAAAATGACACAGAACAACACAGAAATCTGTGAGAAGCACCAGATAATATTTATGGTTACATTTCTCTTTAAAATCTGAACTTGAGATTTTAAAGGATCACGTTTATTAACCAATGTTTTGTGCGAATATTCAATATGTTTTGTTCATTTTTATGAGCATGAAAGATAGACACCTGTATACTGCTGCTTTACTCCCAAAAGAAAAAATGTACATGACAGACGATGTTTAAAACACGGTCTTCTTCAGGGGAGGTTAAAAAGATTAATTTGCATAGAAATATGTATGTGCATAAAGTGTCATGTCAAACATCAAAATAACCCGTTGGTATATAGTTTTAATTCATAATGAAATTCTTGTTAAGTCATCCACATGTGAAATGCGGTCCAACCCTGAGCCCTCCTGGATCAACACTGGGGACAGACGTGTAAACAAAACCCAAATCAACCCCAATCACCACCACTGCAGAAATGAAAAGAGAGAGATAATCGGTCAAAGCGGTGGTACGTGATATGTTGCCGATGTGGTGTTGGGAACTGAGCGAGTGCGGTGTTATTGATGCAGTAGCCAATGAGGTCTGACACATGGCTTCAGGACAGGAAATGCCAGGGGTTATGGGTAAAATTGGTGTTAGCGAAGAGTGTGCAGAAAACCAGAAGCACACCCACACCTATGCACATTGCTCGCACACAAAGACATAAGATGCAGGAATGTGAGCGAGCACGGACCCACGCACACACACACAGACTTTCCATATATTCTGTGGGCACCTCGGCCTCATTAAGGGGAAGTGAAGGACTCCCTGCTCATCTTTTAAAGATAAAACAAAGTGCTGTGATGTCATACCTCATCAGCCTTCGCCAAGGAGACGAGAAGCACTTTAGCAGAAAGAGCAGAGTGTGTGATCGCCTGAACGCACAGACCTCCCTCTGACACTCTCTCTTTCTTGCTTTCTTTCTCACGCACACACACAAACACACATTCACTCACAACCGTGGCAGCAGTGGATGGTGGATGAGGGATGCATGTTGGTTTGGGGCTAAACATGATATCTCCTTTCCCCAGGGCCAGCCAATCAGAACAACCTGCCAGGGAAAAACAGCAAAAGCACTCAAGACCGGCCAGAAGAAAACACACTTAAACACACACACATAAACACAGACACACACTAGCAGGTGCGTAAAAACCTACAAAACACACACTCTTGTACTCCTGCGTGTGCACCAAAACTCCCTCCAAGCAACCATCCATCTAGACAAAGGAATGCTTCGGCAGACACACACCCGAAGTGCCAGCTGGATGTTTTACAGCATTATAAGATCTGAATCAACTTAATCTTCATCCTCAACATTATGAGATTCATCAATAGCCAAAATATCAGCAGCTAGATGCTATCAGCAGTACAAGCAAGTACAAAGCCGAGCCTCATCGTCGATGTTCTTAGAGTTGCACCAGTGCCTGCGGGGGGTGGGACCTTAGGGTGGGAGCTAGGGGGTATGGGGCACAGGAAGTAAGTACCTGGGAGGCAGCAGTGAGGGGAAGTGCCTAGAGGTCCAGGGCCCAGGGAAGATAGAGTCACCGCTGACGGCTCGGTTAAGGGGGAAGGATCGGGGCTAAGTGTTTCCAAGGGAAGTGTAATAGCAGAGGAATTGATGTTAGGAGGATGAAACCATGAAAACCAAACTGCCATATAGAAGAAAAAGATCATAGTGAACGTAAAATACAGTTAAGTGGTGGTGAGTGTGCATCAGTGTTCTTTTTCTCACGAGGCATTTGTTGTTGCCTCGATCTGATTTTTAGAGCGTTAATTGAACTGTGGGGTATGTTGAACATTGGCCAATAAATACTGAAACTGATCTCTTTTTAATTACAGTACCAGCACATAAACAGCTTAAAGATATTTGCCATTACCTCACACTACATACTTATTTGTTTTCTTATCAATACTGCTCCATTTTTCTTAGTATAGTACAAATACGAAAGAGCTGCAACTTCACAGGTACGGTGGCCTACAAGGGACAATGGTCAATTTCAAGTGATTTGACATTTGGAGTAGAAATAACAAAAGAAATGTGAAAAATAAAAGTAAAATAAAATAATAAAATATGCACAGCATGCAGTTATAGTTATTTTATTAATTTTAAAATGTTTATACATTTATTTATCAGTAATAAATAATAAAATATATCATAATAAAATACTAACAGGGCCATTCTGCTCATTAAGTTTTAAGTCAAGTGGTACTTTTACTTGAGTCTACTCATACACCTACTGTACATTCAAACATCAGCATAAGCATCAACTTCAGGATGGCAATCTGTAGAAATACAGCAGAAAGAGCGTAACACATTAAGTCTGACAGTGAAGAGTCAAACCAAAAAGCTGCAGCTTTGCTTTCAGTTGTGTGACTTTTATTTGAACCTCCCCCTCCTATGTGTTAACTCAGAGACACCCTCAAAACTGCCCTGTGATGAAACATCGCCTGTCACACACACACCAGAGGGAAGACTAGTTATGCAATGTGAGGGCCAAAGCCAGAGTACAGAACTGGAGCTGCTTGCTGTGAAAATTATCAAATTGTAACTGCATCAGTCTGGGAAACTGCAGATTTGTGAATCTATGAGCAGTATCCGAGTCAAACCGTCAAACCACAGCTCAGGTGTAGCTCACTGACAGAGGATTAGAGAGAAGAGACTCCCAGGTTTGTTTGAGGAGTCGACTCCATCACTCTTTGGTTTGCCTGTGGGTCTCACTTGGTTGTTGACCCCTTATAGATCTTTACAAGAGTTTTCTCTCACTTTCTATTACATCATGTCGGCATGCGAAGAACCCAACAAGTAAATACATTTTCAGAGCAGAGCAAGATTCAAACCATCGACAGAAAAAAAATGTTGGATAGATTTTCTCTCTCTTTTTTTCCCTGCATGGAATCTTTTTTCCGACAATTACGGATAATTAGTCCCCACATCAAAAAATAAAATGAATAAAACAGCAGTGAGAACAGGGACGATGTGAGGAATGGAGAGGGGTGAGGTGGGGTTGGGGTATTTGTCGATGGCAGGGTCATTATAGGGTGTAGAACAGTGTGGAAGAGGGGGCATCGGGGCAAGGAGGAGGGACGGTGGGGGTGACAGTTGAGGGGATTTGCGTGGGGTGAAGGCTGGGTGCGATAGGGGGGTGCAGCTTGGAGGGCTGGTGTGCGGTGGGGGTGAGGGTTGCTCGGGAGGGGGGGTATCAGTGGGGAATGGTGTCAGCTGCAGAGGCAGCAGGGAAAGCCGACATCTTAATAAAACAGCCTCGGGCTAAATCCCATTAAAGGCCTCAGAGCCTGTTACCACTGCTGGCCAGGTAGCGCACACACACGTAACACACATAACACACTCCACACATACACACACATCATATATTTCTGCCTGCGCCTACACACACACACGAATATATTATATATGGATCCATGTGTCCGTCTCTCTGTCTGTCCATGTGTGGGGGTCTTTCTTTGTGCTCGCTTTGTGTGTGTGTGTGTGTGTGTATGTGTCTATGTGTGGTTTCACCATCTGACCAGCGCACAATTATACCCTCCAAATCACACAATACTGCACATACAAACCAAAACACACCTTCTCTCGCCTATTGTTGTTGAAGGTGCATGGTGAATTCACAATCCAGTAGACTTGTTGTGAGCCGACGTCGTCAGCTTCGATTTCTCGCTCCGCTCTGCCTCCATCTTTGCTTCCAGACTTCTCCGCTGAGGAAGAGGTGAAACTGCCAACCCTGAATGTTTTCCAGGAAAACATCTTGAGAAATCCTCCCCGAACTCACCACCAGAAGAGATATTGTTGTTGCTGCAGACAAGGTTTCGAGGCCTCATCACTGTATAGATGAAATGGCAAAAATGATACACGAGAGGGTTATAAACACAAGAAATGCGGAACTGTACGTGTATCCCAAGGCCTTAATTTTGCACGAATGACACAGCATCTTGTTAGTCTACATCTATATGCTGTAAATCCTTTTTACACTTTCAGTTGGTCCTATAATGGGGCAACAATGCAGCTGAGCAGTACTCAGTCAATCCCCACAGCAGCCAGCTATCCTGTCAAAGTGTCCTTGAATGCCAACCAGTTCACTCATTATAAATGGCTCAGCATCAGTTGACTAAACTGTAAAAAGTGAGACAGTGGAGAAGGGACAGGCAGTCATGAAACCTGGTTAAACTCATTAGTCACAGTTGTATCGCAGAATAGACCTCAATCTAGTTCTTTAGTGCTTAAAATGTCAGAGGTGTAAAGGCACAACTGTGTTATTTCTTCAAGATCAATTGTCCCTCCTGTTGATGACGGACAAGCCAGATCAACTCCCAGAGGTCATCTTTTAGGGTCATGCTCTTTCTTTCTTTCTCACTCAGGCTAAGGGGTGTATATGGGGTGCCTCCACCCTTGTGCACCCGTTCTACAGCGCCCCTTGGTGGCTGCACACCAGACCTGTCTGTCTTAATGGGACGAGTGGGACATAGTTGCAACTTTCAGAGAGGTTTTAAAACAAAAGACTGTAGTTGGAGATATCTCTTAAAGCCCCTTTCTTTTATTCATATGTTCAGTTTTCAAAATATGGAGAATTTCTTCCTGTACTAGTGAGCTCAAGCTCAACTTCTCTGTCATGAAGAGGAGATCAATAAATAAATGTGTCATTTATATTAATGTCTTCATGATTGACACACATTTATTTGGCAAACATGACAGGAGCAAAGTCAGATTGATAAGAGAAAGGAAAGAGGAACAGGTCTTTGTGCAGGTAATTTGAGTTTATGGTACTCTGCATTCCAACCTGGGGGTCAGGACCTACTGAGGGGTCGTAAAATAAATCTGAAGGGCCACATGACAGTTGACAGCATGAAAAAGCAAATATATACCTGTGCAATAAAAACTTTTCTTGAATCTTTTTATTCTGTGAAATACTGGATAGTTTCATCTCAGTAGCCCTCATATTCTTTACATGATACCATTCAAGAAGAGAAAAAACACTTGGTTGAAATACTCTCAGCTCGCAGACATATGCAAGATGCGACAAGAGGTCACCTTAAAAGGGTTCACAAGCTGAAAAGGTTGGGAATCGCTGCTCTGCTCCACACAGCGGCATACAGGTACCTTCAGCTGCACTACCGGGTATAAAGCAAAAATGGGAAGTCATATTTTTAAAAAGCAAGAAAAAGAAACAGCAGAGAAAATCTTCACCAGTGCAGATGAGCTCTGGAGGAGATTTGTCAACGATGGCAATTCCTCCCTGGAGCACTACAGACGCTTATATGATGAACAGTATCTAAACTGTCCTCTGAGTTTTTAATCCACACATACACTCTCTGATTCTGGGATGGGATCCAAGTATACTGGCCCAAATGAAACACATGCTCACACACACACATACATACACACACACACACACAAAGTGGGGGGGAGATCAATATGAAAGAGGAATCTATATGTCCCAAAGTTGAAGTTCAGCCTCTGTCTGACAGAACACACAAGTTCCTGTTGTAGTAAACTATTGTTTTGACAGGATGTCACTTCAGTTCTGCCGAGTGTGTGTGAGAGCGCCGAGCGCCGCGCGCCTCCTCTTTATCTCAGGCCTAAGGCTACTGTCACTGAGCCGGGGGGAGAGTGGGAGACCGAGGCAGACAGACAGAGGGAGAGAGAGAGGCAGGGAAATAGGGAGGAAAAAGGGAGAGATAATTCACTTGTCAGCTGCCTGATGAAATGCCATTTTAACTGAAGCTGCTAATAGGAGCATTACGGGGGTTCAGCAAGCCTGAGACAACTTGCTGATAGTGAAGTCAGTGTGTGTGTGTGTGTGTGTGATGCCAATACCAGCATACTTTTTTCCTCCCTTTATATAAAATCTCTTGCTGCCAAAATATTTTTATCTCTGACTCCACTGACTGGGTCAATGTAGATTTTTGTTTTCCAGCCGGTCACAAAAGCTGCTCCATCGACCTCTGCTATTAATTACGCCACGAGACGTTTACTTGTCAATGCTCGCGTGAAGTGATAGAAAGTTTCAGCTTCATCTGAATGATGCTTGAACTTCTCAGTTGTGGTCTAACTTTAGTTTTAGAGGATATTGTGCAGGGCATAGATAAGATTAACTTCAACTTTATTATCAGTACAGCAAAATGTAGTTTAGCAGATAGTACAAACAGCAATAAAGTACATATATATATATATATACAGAAAAATAAATAAAAAATAAATCAAACAAACACAATATACAAGGTGTACAGTACAAATTAATGCACATGTTTGTTAGTAGTGTAACAATAATATGTACAGAGCTGATCAATAGTATATACAGTAGAATATGTGTGGTTATATTAGTGTAAACAGCAAGCAGGTATGTAATATGTACAGTAAAAGAAGCCATTGTACAAATGTACTTCTTAACATACATGTTTAGACACATTTTTAACATTAAGTTGTGTAATTTAATTATAGAAACATACACCTATACTTTAGGTTACACTTTTTATATAACAGGGTAAGTTTTAAAAAAAGCACGAGATGATCACATTCTACTGTAACTTTGAGATTTAATGTAATTGAGATTATATTTAATCAGCTGTCTGATTGTTTGATTGAAGTCATAATGGAGAAAGATCCACCTGCTGCTCTAAACTGCAGAAAGTTCAAGACAAATACATAAGATTTGAAAGTTATTAAAATAAGTAAAAATTCACTAACTGAATTTAAATGTCTGTCGCATTTGACAATGCTTATGCTTATGCCATGTTCATATAGCAGGTTACATATTCTTATTTATCAGGAACTCTTTGTGAGATAAACAGAACAAATTGTAGTCGAGCAAAGAAACTTAACAAATGTATAACTTTTGTATAAACCAGGAAACATACGATTATTTTCATGTTTAACGAGCAGTAATTCAGTATAAAAATAAAAGAATAAAGGTGCTCTAATATAAGGAAATAAATGTTACATTTTCAACTACAAAAACAACGTCTCTCCACCTAAAGGACACACTCATTATATCAGTCAGACATGTCAGATCAGTGATTATACGCGGGATCAATTGAGGTCACAAAGATTTTCAAGGAAGCTTTTAAGCTATTTAATGAACACAAACTCTCAACAAAAGTACTTTTGCTGAACTCACAGAAGAATGTAAAAACATTTTCTCCATAAATCACTTTATGTTTGTATGTCTTTGCCAAATTTTACTAGTGATGATGAAGTGCCACAAATTTTTATCTTTATATAGCAAATGAACACATATTTAAATATATATAAAGAATATCCAGTGTCATTTACATTTTACTTTGTCTTCCCTTGACATTATCGTCACATCAGTGTGATTTGCAGTGTAAATCTCTAACACACTTTGGGACAGTTGCCCTTCCAGTTCTTGATGATATTTAGCTCTTGTTCCTTTTGAGTTTTATTGCCGTTATTGTAAATCATTTCAGACAAAAGCTTCTGCCAATTGAATGTAAATGTAATTTGGTCCTCAAAGATTTCTTTCTAGCTAAAAGGCAGATGAACTCTTTGAATTACTTATAGATTAAAACATTTGACTTTTAATCACAAAAATGCATTTGCTTTATTCAAAGTAGAACCTGTTATTCTACATGCACCTTGTATTCTAGACTCTATATGATTCGTCCAATCTTACATGGTACTTCACCAAAATGAGTTTGTTTTATTTATGTTATTATGTAAACCAACTTCCCTCTGATGGTTATTTGTTGTGGGTTTGCCTAAACTGTTTTTATGGTGCATTAGATTTCATACAGATACAGTGGAAGCGTATGCAGCATCATTACAGCAACCGGTTATACTGTCCACCAGCATTACTGTTTTTTAAAGGGACATCTAACATACACACACACACACACAACCACACACTCACTCACACAGAGAAAGGGTTAAGAGAGCCCTGAGGCCAAGTGATTTACGCAAGAATGGGCTGAATAGTTACTGTCTCTTTGTGCATGTGTAAGTGTGTGCAAATGTGTGCGCGTGTCTGTGAGTGTGTGTGTGGGCACTCAAGTACTGTATTTAAATGAAAAACTCCAATACAAAACTGATACACTGCTTTTTAGCCGTGGAGTTTAAGAGATGGTTTGATGTTTTCCTTCTATCCTTTTCTTCCTTATATTAGACTGAAAACACACACACACACACACACACACACACACATACACAAATGCATTAACACACAGTGAAACAGATAATTTAATGCACAGACATATGGTATACATATCAAAGCTGGGTCAAATATGACCTTCAAGGCATTATTATCATTATCATAAACAACAAATTGATTATATTGTCAGAGAATAACAATTATTTTCATTTTCTTTAAATGATTTCAATAACTTTTATGCTACTTTTGTGACATCTAGTACTTTATATCTTAAAGATGTGTGTGAGCTCCTGGGAGGACAAAAGACAAAGTTTTAGGTGGGTTTTCCTGCACCATCATACACAACCAAATTCATAAATTAATTTAACAGTTAAACAGTTTCTTCTTTTTTTGGTCCTAACCAAGAAGAGTTTATTACTGCTTACTAGGTAGGAGTCACAATTGACCCAAAGATAAAGGCTTTCATTTGCTTTGGTCTCGGTCTGTGAAGAGCCTGAATGCCATCTAGTGGCTGCAGTGGGAGTCTATCCAGAAACAGCGCATACAGCAAAAGGATCAGAGGTCACAAATGGAGCAACTTTAATGTCAATAGCACCCCCTGCAGGCTGAAGCTCACATTACTTTTTCCACACAGCAGATCAGT